CGTTTCTTTTTGGCCATAAAAGCCTCGATCTCTTCCATCTCTTCGGCCGATGGTTTGGCGCTCTTCGACTCGTTCTCGAACTGAATCCACGGACCCGTATAGCCGTCGATGTCCGCGGAGTCCATGTTCGACAGCTTCTTCCGTTTGCCGGCAGACGTGTCCGAAGGGGTGGTCGACGTCGACAAGTCTTCGGAGGCGACGGACTTAGTAATGGCGACAGCGTTGGAGCCGTCGCTGGGATTAGCGGCCAACCCATAGGCGTGGAAGTGCTTCCTCTGCAGTTCAAACACGTGTTGACTGACGTGCGCCTCCTCTATATGTCCCGTCAAGAAGTTGTTACTCGTCTGCGAGTTGTCTTTGAATGGGTTCTGCGGACCAAACTGTGGCGCAAATATCAGGAGCATAAAGCCTAATTTGCAGTCAAGAAACCGAAAGCCCAGTTACTTAGCTCTGTAAACAGAGGACTCCAGCTCGACTATCAGTACGTGAAGTCCTCGCGACAAGTGGCGTGTGTTGCAGCGTGACGAGTACTTGGGATCAAGTGATGAGTTGTCTTCATCTGAAGAGCCACTCGTGTCGTAACCGACCAATGAGTTCACTGCCATTCAATACTAACTGTAATTCACTTTCAATTGTAAACTGAATATCAATTCAGTTACAAATCAATTGCAAAACCTTTTCATACAAAACATGAGACAAACGTAAAACACATTGAATACAAGTCACACATAAAATACGTCCACTTTTTGCATACATTTTGAACATAAATTGTGACAATGTATGCCAAACTTTAGCAGCAAAAGATTGTACCTGTGCATTTTATTATAATACCGCTAATTTGACTATAATCTTACTTAATAAAATGCACTCAATATGACCTGGATGTACCTGAATTAATAATATCATTAATTTAAGTGGGAACATCAACAGTGTAACATATCAATAGTTCCAGAGTAGTTACGGTGGGTTTATAAATATATGTTGTAATATAAAAGATTAGTAATCTTTGATACAAAATATTAATTGTATCCATGGATAGATACACTGCTTAAGTGTAGGCAGTAATCAATTAAACTTGCAACAAATTCTTTTAAATCATTAGCCTGATTACTTTATTATTGATGAATATTTAAATAATTTTGATTAAATATAATTTTTCCAATTTTCTTGAGGATATCAGATCTAAACAGATTTAAATATTGTATCAAGTTCATTGATAGGATAAATTGACAAGATTAATGAATTTATTAATTTATTATGATTTGTATCGAATTCTTATAGGTATGGTAACAATTATGTCATATGGCCATGTTTAATCATTAATGGGACCACGCGTTGAATAATCGAAAAATCTTTTTGTGATAATAAAATAACATTTCTGTCTATTGTTTTTATAACCTAATAATAATACAGTGTAAATGAACATAATCAATCTGACACATTGGATGCATTTGTAAAAATTATTAAATTATTAAATGAATATAGGAAATGTAGTATTATGTAATAGTAATTATGTCTGGCAAAATGTTGAGCACATATTTCATGGCTAATAAAACCTATTTATCGTGATCACGATTCGTGAATATGTGACTCAATTGTATATTTCAAACTAATGGTTAAAGTTTCTATTTTACACAAAAATATTGAGTTTCTCTTATAGGAATTCTATACATATTTTATCATTTTAACATAAATTAAATATTATGTTTAGAAATAATATTTTAAATAAATAAATAATAGTTAATTATTGAATAATTAAATATAATAAATAAACGTTCTGGGTGAAATACTTTCTAAAGATAATTCAATTATGTCATGTGTCAATAAACATATGTATTTATTCTGATGAGGATTACCATATTAAATGCAGGATTAAATGTTGAAAATATTCTGTAATAATAAATGTACATTTTTATATGAAACTACATTTTGAAATTGAACATAAAATTGTTTTGATTACGAAGTTATAAAACGGTATAATTGACAACATTTCCTATTAATAACTAAAGGAAATAATAGTCTTTAGTTGGAATTTAGTGTATTTCCTTTCTTTAAGTAAACTAACCAACTGTTCATATTATGATATGTTTCCCAAGTGTTGACAATTTTATTTTCAAGTAGTATCATAAACTGAAAAATATTTAAAAGATGTTAAAAAATATTTTACAATATGCTTATATTTCATGATATAATTATAAAGATAAATATTTAACTAATATTTTATCAGCGTAATCTTTAATATGGCATATAATCGATATCTGTATAAGTAAAGTACTACAGTATATAATGCTATATTAAAGAGTTACTGTACTGTATGTGCGATATTATAGTATAGGACTATAGTATAGGAATTGAGTAGTGAACGCTTTTATTCAAGATTTGCTTTTTATATATTCTGTAAACATTTTGCAGTTCTTATCACAACATCAACCATAATGTGTTCATTTGGGTGAATGCTAATTGAAATGTACACAACTTAAACAAAAGCAAGTCATATTGTATCGTATGTTCATTAATTATTTTATAAATTAAATAATGAATACACCAAATATGTACACAAAAATATAAATACAAGTTTTAAAATTTAATACATATTTAATACTTTGCATATTTATCGTAATGTCAAGAATGTGATGACAGGGTTTGAAATACTGGTGATATTCACAGAATAAATTGTATCTCATTAATTGCTCTATAGGTATAAATAGTTATCATTTTGATTAAAATTAATTGATATGTTTAATTCAAACTAAATGTTTATTTATCATTTATGACATATCATACAAAATTATCCCGATTTAATTAATTAATTATAATTGGAATATTGAATAATGTATAATGTATTAATTTATTTAATATAACATGTGTTGAGTTAGGAGAGAGAGAGAGAGAGAGAGAGACAGAGAGAAACATGGACTCCGCGGACATCGACGGCTATACGGGTCCGTGGATTCAGTTCGAGAACGAGTCGAAGAGCGCCAAACCATCGGCCGAAGAGATGGAAGAGATCGAGGCTTTTATGGCCAAAAAGAAACGGTTCGGGAAGAAGACCGAGAAGGAGGAGTTGGAGGAGAGGGCGACCATTCATATCGAGGACGTGTATGACTATCAGGGCCGCTCTTTCCTGCACTCTCCGCACGACCTCGACGTGAGTCTCAAAGCCGACTACACGCCCAACAAGTGCTTCCTCCCCAAGAGAGTGATCCACACCTACACCGGGCACTCGAAGGCCTTGACAGCCATTCGATGGTTCCCTCGTTCGGCGCATCTCTTCCTCTCGTGTTCGATGGACTCGAAGATTAAGTTATGGGAAGTCTATAAAGAGAGGCGATGTGTCATCACATACATGGGTCACAAACAGGCCGTTCGCGACATTAACTTCAATCGCAAAGGTATTCGTATGACATGTCTTGCAATGCATTTGTCATGAATTTGTTGTCCAAAACAGGCGACCGTTTCATATCATGCGGTTATGACCGGTATATGAAGTTATGGGACACCGAAACGGGTCAGTGCATCAAGAGGTTCACCAACCGGAAGGTCGCCTATTGTGTCAAATTCAACACCGATGAGGAACGCTCTCATCTCTTCATCTCCGGCATGTCCGACAAGAAGATTATTTGTTGGGATACCCGCTCCGGGAGTATAGTTCAGGAGTACGACAGACACTTAGGCGCCATAAATACCGTCACTTTCGTCGACAACAACCGCAAGTTCGTCTCAACGGCTGACGACAAGTCGATTCGAGTTTGGGAGTGGGATATCCCGGTTGATGTCAAATACATAGCCGAACCCCATATGCACGCCATTCCAGCGGTAACGCCGGCGCCAAACGGCAAATGGTTGGCCTGTCAGTCGATGGACAATAAGATACAGGCGTTCGCGTGTATGAATCGATTTAAGCTGAACCAGAAGAAGGTGTTTACGGGACATATGGTGGCCGGTTATGCCTGTTCTCCAGACTTCTCACCAGATATGAGGTATTGCTCACATTTTTGGTCTCAATTTATTGATCGCATTGTTTTGGTTGACAGTTACTTAATATCGGGTGACGCCGACGGAAAGGTGTTTATATGGGACTGGAAGACCACAAAACTGTTGAATACCTTTCAAGCGCACGACAACGTCTGTATATCCACTCTATGGCATCCGCACGAGACATCCAAAGTGCTGACCGCCGGATGGGATAATAATGTCAAACTCTGGGATTAAACGATTTCTTACAAACAGACGTCACTTTGTATTACTGTATATAAAGTCATTTCAATCATTAAATCATTGTTTCGTAAAGAGTCGTGAATTGGCTTTAAAATCAAGTCTATTATCGCGTGAATTAATGGGTGTCTATCTATTCACATAATCGTGTCCAGTACATTCAACCAACAATATTGACATGGTGCTTTTTATTTGGAGAATGTATTACCGTATAAATGAGATTATTGTATGCGTGCTAGTCTTATAAAACAAATCTCATTTGATTACATAATTAAATGTACGTGTATGAAATAATTACTAATATTCACCTGATCCAATTCACTAGGAAGTGAAATATAAGATCAAAATGTTTATTGCAGTTATGGTTTCATTCTAACGCAATATACCAACAAAATCGACATCAAGCACAATTATTGGCAACATTCATATTTTTTGAAAATGTTCTCTTATAATATACCCTTGACCATTTAAATTAAATAATGTACAGTATATACCGTAATACAATACAAATATACCAATAAACGGTTCAATGAGTTGTCATTTAATGAACACATTTGTCATCTCAAACCAATTATTAGAGACATTGTGCTGTTTTTACAGTAATGTAAAGTGATAAACACTGTACTGTACTCTATGACCATGCTCATTAATTGATGACCATGCACTGTAAAGTAAATGTGTCATCCTACATTGAACAGTTACCAGGAACAGTACAGTACTGTACGTGTACTATGAACAGGTATACTATTGGTCAGCATATAAGAGCACATTTGAGTGCCAATACTGTATCAAAGGTTTATAACTTGAGATTAATAAGCGATAAAAATAATGTATTTTGCGATTAACCTATCATTCAGTCGACACCAATGCAAACAAAGCGCTTATTTGTGATAAAAATTGCAGTCATTTTGCCACACATTGATCGCCCGAGTGTTGCCAATTGAAAGGTATTATATAATGACATAATATTGTATAATTGCATGAATTGAATGCAAACCAAATTGAATTAGAAATGACTGAATGGTTAGTTAGGGAGCAATGCATACATAGACTGTAGACTTGACTGGCATTGAGTGCATCTCATAAAGCGCTTGAAAAATGTGTCATTCAGTGAAACACTACTGCAATGAGTGTTCAGTTTGTTGTTCACAACACAACACTAATGCATGAATAATAGTGTTGTGTTTGCAGTGATTACACACTATTTAGAGACCATTTTGGGTGCACTCATGAACCGCTCAATCGTACCATTCATTGACCATTCAGTCTGAAAGTGTTTGCATTCAAGTCCCACATATGTCTTAAGACCACTGCAATGAGTGTCCATTCAATGCATATGACTGTTGGCGTCAATACAGGTGACGATCACATGAAGGCCAGTGGTGTCCACGAGGAGGACACAGACTGTCAATGGAGTGACCGATTGGACGCCAATAAAGCGCTGCAAATGTTGGACCAATTGGACGATAATATATGTCTGAAGAATCACTCGAAGACAATGTCCATGTCGTCGAAGAACAGCATTAAGTCGAATGGCAGTGAAGACAGGTATTCGACGAAGAGTGGCAACAATTGGGATCAGACGCAGACCCGGCTGTTGCCCATCAAAGACACCTATTGCTGGGATTGCCATAAGAATGGCGTCGACTTCTCGTGTAAGGCATGTCTTCGTAGTTATCATCAAAAGTGTTCGTCGCTGAAGAGGCTGTTGAGTCAGTCGGTGGTCGACCCGAAGCTGTGTCATATTGCTGGGATTGCCATAAGAATGGCGTCGACTTCTCGTGTAAGGCATGTCTTCGTAGTTATCATCAAAAGTGTTCGTCGCTGAAGAGGCTGTTGAGTCAGTCGGTGGTCGACTCGAAGCTGTGTCCGGAGTGTACGGACATAATGGGCGCCGAAGAGGGCACCAATCCGTCCGGTTGTATGCAATGGTTGAACGGGAATGTGGAGGAGTTGTCTGAACTGCTGAGGTATACCATCGAAACGGTGAGGGCGGCCGACAAGAAGAACTCGTTCTACGATCCCGTGTCGGCCACTCTTTACCCCGAATACCGTAATCTAATCGTTAATCCAATGGATTTGAGTCTAATTGAGACCAATATCCACAACAAGTTGTACGCATCGACTAACAGCTTCTTAGCGGACATTAAATGGGTATTTGAATGCATTCAATGAATGCAACCAATGGTTGACTATAAGTATGTCTATATGTCTCCAGGTTTACCACAATTGCATTGTTTTCAACTCCGGAGTCAATCAGCCGTTGATCAGTGAAGTGAAGAACATCTTACGAGTGGCCAAACAGGAGTGCGAAGAGATCGAGATCTGTCCGGACTGTTACCGCAACTACTATACCATGGAAGAGGACAACTACTTCGCTGCCGTGTGTCGGCGCCCGCACGCCATCGTATGGGCCAAACTGAAGGGCCATCCGTATTGGCCCGCGAAAGTGGTTCGTTATAACGAGTTGAGGCATGAGGTGGACGTCCGCTTCTTCGGCACTCACGACAAGTAAGTGTTGACCGCTTTCGAGGCGTTTATAGTGTTTATTGTGTTCATTGAATGCATTTGTGAGCCGTTTCTCTGATTGAAAACCATTGGTTTCGATCGATTGAATGGTTTCGAAATGGAAAGCCATTGGGAATCGATCACCGAATCTCTTGTGGTTCATGCAATCGATTCGAGAAATGGCTGCAAATGTGTTGAATGTGTTTCGATTTGAATGTGAGGCTAACCACCAGTTTGTATGCCTGACCACCAGGTGTTGGCTTTTTGGCCTATTCACAATAGAGTACAGAGCCTTGATAGGGTTGTTATTCTTCGGGAGCTTTAAGCTAGTTTTGTTCAAGCTGCTTCGCTAAGCACTGTACTTGAACGTAAACCTAGTTAACCTAGTCTAGCACTCCGGGAAGTTCCAGTTCCACGACAAACACACCGTCTTCTCCATCGATGGCATGTATTTGAATGACAACACATCCACTCAAATGACATGTGAATCCAATTCAGACGATAAACTCATGAGTTCTAAGAAAGTGTTGAACACTTATAACGGAATCGCTTTCAAGACATTGAAAGTGAAAACCTCTAAATTCGATGTCAGGAATCACTTGAATGACTGCCACGACGCCAATGAAGACACATCTCCGCCCACTAAACGCTATAAAGGACTGAACGGGTCGTCCAAAGCACAAGCAAATCGGTGTCTTTCACAAGCGATTGGCGTTCGACACGAATTGAATTCTTCAGTCGATTCCGAAAACTCGTCATTTGACTCGAAAAGTGTGACTCCAATGGAGTCATCGCATGATTTGGAGGATAATAGTCTTGAGTTCGACAGTCGTGCCAACCATTCGCCCAAAGCATTCACAGTCAAGTCGATTCCGAAAACTCGTCATTTGACTCGAAAAGTGTGACTCCAATGGAGTCATCGCATGATTTGGAGGATAATAGTCTTGAGTTCGACAGTCGTGCCAACCATTCGCCCAAAGCATTCACAGTCTCCGCGATGTCTCATATGTTGAATACTGACGAATCAGTGGTCTCTGAGGCCCACAATCACATGGAAATCAAACCCAATGTTGTCTCACAAATGGTATTTATGTACACATTGTCTCGTATTATGACTTGAAATGGAATACACTCTTTGATTTGATGAACTTAGCATGATACATTATTCCCTATGAATCTGAATCTGAACACCCTATTACACCCACTAATATGATGCACTAATATTTACAATTAGAATATACAACCAGTAAACCCATACCTACCCTACCCATACCTATATTATACTATATACATATTATGTTCATTTGGAGTGTTTTTTATGGTGAGCACAAATGATCTTACAGATTGGAAATGAACATGCTTATAGATATAGTGTACGATGATATGGGAATGGGAGGGGATACTTATAATACGGTATACTAATAATAGGGTAATGGTGATGGGGTATAAGCAAACTATTACCGTAGGATAAAAGTGAATGAATTAGTGTCTCATATATTGAATGAATGGTTTGTATTGAAACAGACAATGGATTCGACAACGGATTCATTGGAGAGTTTGAAGAAAAGAGTGAAAGTATTGGAGTTTAAGAATAGAAAACTTGAGGAACAGAACAGTGAGTTGACTGTGAAGTTGAGTTCAGTCGAAGAGGAGAATGAAGACTATAAGCGGACTAACGAGGAGTTCCAGAGGAGTATCGATGAACTAAAACGCAAGCAGTGGTGCACTAATTGTCTGAAAGAAGGTTTGTCTTAATAATTGCTTGAATGCTTGTACTGAATGTATACCAACTTGTGTTACTTGTTAGCCATTCTTCCGTGTTGTTGGAACACCTGTTACTGTAGTGTCGAGTGTCAGCACAAGCATTGGCCCATCCATTCAAAGAGCTGTCGTCGCCGCCAACCAACCAAATGAGTGCTAAACCTTATGATCTATATTGTGCTCAATGGCAACGTTAGTCATAGTATTATGGACTGGCTCATATTTGACGCATTTTCTACATTTGAAATTCAA